TTACATTCTATTCAAACACCCACAGGTGTATTTATGTTACGTTATGCTGTATATCCATGTATCAAAACCTTTATTAATACATACAACAGTAATGGAATGTAGCTTCATTTTACTGTTGTCATGTTTGCTTACTGCTCCAAAGATGGGCCTATGCAACTACATTATTCATTAGTTAGTGATAACTGATCATAAGTGGTTTATCATGTGTTATCTGAAACCAAGTGAAAGTTTTTCATGGGTGGGGAACATTTTTGTCATCATGACTAGATTAGAGTATATTGGATACACTGAATTACTCATAAGTAAGAATATGATCTATCCTAATACAAATGAGTTTTATGGTCTCTGGAGTTTGTGCTGTAAAACGTGAAAGGGCGGGTCATTGTGCTCTTATAAAATGCACCTCCAAAGTATCCTATCGCAAAATACATTCCCCTGTTGTTTAGCTGGATTGATCATTCAGGTGGATTTTTTTTCTATCCAAATATTAAGGATGAATGTGCTCTGTTTTTCTGTACTTGCCATTTTATGCAGGTTTGCTTCAAGTGCAGGTAAGCAGGTTAAATGGTGTATATGTCATCTTATTTATCATAAAAACAGATTTACTGTTAAACCTGATGCTGCTGAATTTAGGTTAGTCCATCAATTTTAGTGAAGTTTTGCACTGTATATATTGGAAGGCTTGCAAGAATTATAAGTTTACGAAGATTTATTAGAATCTGAGAACAAGAGTTGTTGATTTTTGAGCAACTTCAGAATTAAAACATGGAATTAAACACCTTTGAAGGTTTTAGAGGTCCAGTTCAAATCTTTTTAACCTGAACATAGACAACATACACTGGTCGTTGTCTGTATTCATGTAATTAATTAAATGTGAATATATTTCATTATCAATATATTACATATACATTAGTTTGCAATAAGTCAACTTGGTTTCCTTTCAGATTGGTGCTATCAATCTCAAGTAACTTGCAACAATCAGTCCGAAGTAAGATGTGTAGGTGAGCATTGTGCCTTGTTCAATGTTTTATATAAAATTATTAGAAAAAAAAATACAGTATTTTTCAAACATTTGGGGTCAGTAATATTTATTTATATTTTTATTATTTTGAAAAAAAATGAAACACTTTTATTCAAACAGGATGCATTAAATTGCTCAAAAATCGACAGTGAAGTCTCTTTGAACTTTTTATTAATCAAATAATTTTTATTAATCAGCACAACTGTTTTCAACGTTGATCATAGGAAATGTTTATTGAGCAGCAAATCAGCATCTTAGAATGATTACTGAAGGATCGCGATGCTGAAAATTCAGCTTTGTCATCACAGGAAAAAAAATGCCATTTTAAAATATATTCAGATAGAAAACAGTTATTTTAAATTGAGTAAAACTCCACAATATTTCAGCTTTTACTGTACTTTCGATCAATGAAATGCATCCTTGATGAGCAAAATAGACTTCTTTCAAAGACATCAAATCATTCAAACTTTTGAACATATGTGTATGATTTATATTAACATAACATGACTTTTTGTATAGGACCGGATGATTGGGCAATAGTAGCCGCAGACTGTGGAAATACAAAACAGTCACCTATTAACATTGTAACAAAGAAAGTTGTCTTTGACAGTCGTCTGACCCCAGTGCAGTTTACAGGCTACCAAGAGACAATCAATACTCTCATTACAAACAATGGACACACTGGTAAGTTACTCTTAAGTATAGCCTACATTTTCATGGTGAATATCCTTTACCCATTATTGGCAACTGTATATTAATTTCACTTTATAAACAACTTTTGCCATATATTTTATCATCTGTAGTGCAAGTTAATCTGCCAGACAGAGCAGCAATTAGTGGGGCCAATTTAGGAGCCAATTACAAAGCTCAGCAGCTTCATCTGCACTGGGGCAAGAATGGTGGACCTGGATCAGAACATACTATAGATGGAGAGAAATACCCTATGGAGGTAACTATTGAGAAATCCATCTTATTTTTAATGTAAGAACAGGGACGTCCATTTGTAAGTTGAATGAAGTTGTGTGGCTTCCGGTATCATCCACTTCCAGTAATTTTAGCTGTACAAAAACAATCCTTCATGCTGCGTGATATTGCAAAGTGCTATTTGTTATCATTTTTATTTTTATTTTATTAACGTATTATATATAAACACTCTGGTTTATAGTAGTGCAAATAGTTTTAGTTTACTGCACTTTAATTATCAACAAATAGTGGCTAATGAATCAGAAGTCTCGCACATTCACAGAAAATTTCCGCATTGCAAAATAAGGTGGAAAGACAGGCTTTATTCCTACACTTATTTGTGAATCGATAAGAAACTAAGCATGCATATTTTTTTTTATCCTTAACAGCTTCACATTGTACATATTAAAGAAAATTACAACTCTGTGGAACAGGCCATTAATGACCCTTCAGGAGTTGCTGTCCTTGGACTTTTTTATGAGGTAAACCAAGAGATGCCTTGTTAAATGTTTGCTACTAACAGCTAATACAACAGTGTTTTATCACATGCATCTTATTTTACAGGAATCACCAAGTGCCAATAAAAAATATGATGGCATCATAAATTCTCTGAAAAATATTGCACATCCTGGTAAGGTTATTTTATGTACCTTCGAAACTTAATAAATATGTTTTTATTGCTTCTTGTTTGATTTACAGCAGTGCTATAGTCACTCAAGGTTGCGATATCTCTAATATGGGAGGAACTTGTTTGATAATCTATTATTATTCAGACAGGCTATATTTAGAACAAAGAATGGGAACTTTGTGACAACTTGTAAAACATCTTTTTTAGGCACCAATGTAACACTGTCAGCTGTATCATTAGACATGCTCATTCTCCCCCATAATGAATTGGAGAGGTACTTCCGCTACCAGGGGTCCCTCACCACACCAGGCTGCTCTGAAGCTGTGGTCTGGACAATATTTGAGAAAGCGATTCCGCTCAGCAAAGAACAGGTAATTTGCTGTATGTATAAACAAGTGAAACTTTAACACATCATAAGAATGAAAGAATACCATATAGTCGTCTTTTGTTTGTCTTGCAGCTTTCTGCGTTTTCAAACCTGACGTTTTCTGACGGGACTGCAATGGTAAATACACACCGCCCCGTTCAGCTGCGGTATGGACGTGAAGTGTATTATTCTAGGAGTTATGTTTTTTGTGTTAGCACTGCCTTATTTGTCAGCTCTGTTTTCACATCCCTCTGTGTTCTCACTGTCTGATTTATGTTGAGGTTTTACTCGGAAGCAAGATATTTATCATTCATCAAATAATTCATGGCAAATCAAACTTTATTGTCATTCAGCCATGTGTGGCTTCAACATGTATATCTAACATAAAAGTATCTAGTATGTAAGGCAGGTAGTCAAACATATGCACCCTCTTCACATCCCACGCTTGAGGTCTTCTGGAATTTATCTAGCTGAAAATTAATTATACAAAAATCATAATTTTGATATCTATTGAACTTATATTAACTGTTGTAAAAAAAAAAATATATATATATATAACTGTGTCCCAAATTTTGCATGCAAACGTTACTGCACAACAGTCCCTGTTATAAGAATGTAGAAAGCTCTTTTTTTGTGGAAAGTATAAATTAGCAAGCGCAAAAGGACACTGTTTAACATTATACAGCATATTATAGAGGACATAGAGAACATGGCTGCACATGTGATGAGAATACTTAAGACTTAAAAACTTAAAAACTGGTCTTGGGTTTTTTAATGATTATAATTACTGTATTCTTGTTTTTCTGTATTGGTAAATGTTCAGCCAAAATATAAGCAATAAAAACCAAACAAACGCATGGTCATACACTCTAAAAAAATGCTGGGTTATTTCAACCCAACTTTGGGTCAAATTTGGACTAACCCAACTTTTGGGTTAAAAATGTAATGTAAAAATTTAACCCAACAGTTGGGTTAGTGCATATTTGACCCAAAGTTGGGTTGAAACAACCCGGCATTTTTTAGAGTGTACAATGATTTTTGGGTGTTTTCTCTTAATAAATGTTCACTCATTGATTTTTACTGTTGCCTCTAGTAATTCTGTGTGTGATTTTTAATTTCTGACCTATTTTTGGTTAATTTTAAGCCAGCAATAGTAATTTTCAATCAATAGTTGAGTTAATTAAGACAAGCCAGCGAAAGGTTGCCAAAATAACCCAATTTGAGTTATTTTTAACATTACTGTTGCCTCTAGTAATTCTGTGTGTGATTTTTAATTTCTGACCTATTTTTGGTTCATTTTAAGCTAGCAATAATAATTTTCAATCAATAGTTGAGTTAAGACAAGCCAGCGAAAGGTTGCCAAAATAACCCAATTTGAGTTATTTTTAACCCAGCATTTTTAGTGTTTCAGCGTATAATGAATAACTAACCCTGTGAAAATTGCACAGGCTGAACACTTTTTAATATTTATTGCACCTGTTAGAGCTGTATGGAATAAAAAGGAAGTGTGTTCTCATTGGCCAGATTCTCAGAAGACAGATTATTCATTGACATTCCAAATTGGGTGATTTGTTATTGGTACTGAATACCTGGCAACCAAAGGAGAACTGAGAAGGAACTGGCAACTTTTAGAATTTTAAATTCAAAGAAAAAAATACTTTATTTTGAGAGGCAGACAATATCAAAAAGACTGGGAAAAGCATACTAATTAATTCATTAATTCATAAGCATAAACACATACCACCTTTAGCCTACCTCTTACCATAGCCTACTATTACATGGACTATCAGTTATCAGAATTTTTATTAATTTTATACTCATCCAAAACATGCATGTTGCATGTTTAATTCAAATTAATTTAAAGAGAATGAAAAACACAAATTAAAAGGAGATTATCAAATTACATACCAAATAAAATAAATCAGAATATAGCCTGTAATATAGGTAATTAAGCCTAGCTAAAATCACTCAAATCAGATAAAAGCAATGCTGAACGTGTAGTGTACGAGGGTGTGTTTGGGCGGTGTGAGCAGGTGTTAAAACACCTTTGGGCTGAAAAGCTTTGCTGGACCTGGCAACCCTGATCACTGTAACTACAGTCAGCTGTCCAGGACCTGATCTTCGTGAGAGTAACAAGCAACATGGATCGCTGGAAAGGCAGGGTTGCTCTTGTCACTGGAGCTTCAGTGGGAATCGGAGCTGCAATCGCAAAGTCTCTTGTCCAGCATGGCATGAAGGTGGTCGGCTGTGCCAGAAATGTGGAGCAAATAGAGGTAATGCACCGTTAGCATACGCTTTATAGCATACACTCGCGAGAAGTAGGCTACATGTTTATGCACCGGCTGAAGAATCGTGTGTTCTTTTGTCTTGCAGAAACTGGCTGCTGAATGTGTCCGTAGTGGATTCAGCGGCACTCTGATCCCATATAAATGTGATCTGTCTGTAGAGGACGACATGTTATCCATGTTCTCCTGGATCAAAGTTCAACATCAGGGAGTTGACGTGTGCATTAATAATGCAGGTTTGGCTCTCCCAGAGCCTCTATTGAGCGGCAAAACCAGTGGCTGGAGGACTATGATGGATGTAAGTAACACTGTAGCGACGAAAAAGCCACCGACTCATTTCTGCGAATCGGTTCTTCCCAGTAGCTCATTTCAATGAACCGTTTCAATCGATGGGTGCTTTCGAATCACTTCAAGATTCGAATCTTTTAAGAATCGTTTGTTTCGAACCAATGGCTCGGAGCCCGTATCAGACTGTAAAATCACGTGATTTCAGCAATGAGCGCTCTGAAATGTTTCGAAAGTTCAATGGTTTGCCGTTCGGGGGCGATCTCTGTGGACCCATGAATGAGAACAATTGAACCAGTAGGCTATGGTTTTTAACTGATCTCGGATCCGCTTTATAAATTTGTAGACATTTTTAATGAAATATTTGTGTAATTAAAAGGAAGAGTAGTAGGTAATATTCTCTTATTGGTGTTTTTAGACAAGCCATCCATAAAACAAAACAAGCCCCGCAAAGAACACATAGGGCCTATATATTTAATGGTATTTGATGAATTGTTGATTGCAATAATTCTATTTAGAATTAGAATTATATATACATATCTTCCATCTTTTTTTGACCCTCTAACTCTAGCACTCTCTATTCTAATTCTATTTATATAAAAAAAAAAACTAACACTAATAATTGTAATAATTAATAATAATTAACTAATAATAAACACTAATAATTACACTAGCTTTTCTAATCTTTTTGTATTCTATCTACAGTCGTGGTCAGAATTATTGACACCCTTGGTAAATATGATCAAAGAAGGCTGTGAAAATAAATCTGCATTGTTAATCATTTTGATATTTTATTTAAACAGAATATGCTGGGGATTGTTTTTGGATGAGAGTATTTTCTTTTCTTGATTTTTTTTCTTGAAACCCTCCCAAACAACATGTGGTGCAGGTGCCGTTTCATTTTTTTTTTTAAGGTTTTCTGACCCTGAGACTCAACTATTTTCTGCAATTCTCCAGTTGTGGTCCTTGGAGAGTCTTTAGCCACTCAAACTCTCCTCCTCACCGTGCATTAGGACGATATAGACACACGTCCTCTTCCAGGCAGATTTGTAACATTTTCTGTTGATTGGAAATTCTTCATTATTGCCCTGATGGTGGAATTGGGATTTTTCACTGCTTTAGCTCTTTTCTTAAAGTCACTTTCTAATTTGTGAAGCACAATTATCTTTTGCTGCACATCAGGATATTTTACTCAAAAGAATTTCTAGGGGTGCCAATAATTGTCCAACGTGTATTTGAGAAAAACATTTATGTCATCATGATATTTCCCCCATTTTAAATTCTTATTCTTCAATGAAAAGTTAGATTTATGTGAATTTTTTTAAAATAAAACATCAAAATGATTAACAATGCAGATTTATTTTCACAGCCTTCTTTGATCATATTTACCAAGGGTGCCAATAATTCTGACCACGAATTTGTTTTCTTTTTATTTATTATACAATTATCAAAAGCAAAAAAGGCCTCTAACACTAGCTTACTCTATTCTTTTTCTATTCTATCTGTTTTTCTTTTTATTTATTATATAATAAAGAAAAACAACCTTGCTACGTGTACTGCGTTAAGCTAACTGAGACTTATAGCAATTGTATATCATTGCTCTCTTTTTGATTTTGATTGCTTCCATTGTCCTCATTTGTAAGTCGCTTTGGATAAAAGCGTCTGCTAAATGACTAAATGTATGTATATATATATATATATATATAAAACATTTGCAATGTGTTTGTAAAAGCTGTTTTTATACATGTTTTGACCAGCAGGAGTCACTTCAGGAGTTTCACTTTTTGTTTAGGTGAATGTCATTGCCCTGTCAGTGTGCACCCGCGAGGCATACCAGTCCATGAAAGAACGAAATATTGATGATGGTCATATCATTAATATTAACAGGTACAGGAATGTTTTATTAGACTTTTTGCCTGTATTCAGATTCCAGCCTGTGCTGGGCCAACAAAACTTTTAATATATTTGTATGTTTTAGCATGAGTGGACACCGGGTCGTCAACAATGCCGATATACACTTCTACACCGCCAGCAAATATGCAGTGACGGCTCTCACAGAAGGTTTGAGGCAAGAGTTACGAGAGGCCAAAACCCACATACGTGCCACAGTAAGCGCAGGAGGATCAGGATTTGCTTCTGCTGAACACTGTAATATGATTACTGCATGTACAAAGACTTGTTGGCACTAAGTGTTCTCTCTGTTTAACAGTGTATTTCTCCTGGTTTAGTGGAGACAGAATTTGCCTACCGACTCTTAAGTAAAAACCAAGAAAAAGCTGCTGCTACTTATAAAAGTATAAAGGTATATACCAATTCTGATTCCTTTCTATACAACATGTTGAAGATCATCATTTACATGTTTAAATATTACAGTGCCTACAAGCAGCTGACATTGCAAACGCAGTGGTGTATGTCCTGAGTGCTCCTCCTCATGTTCAAGTAAGCATCATGCATCACTGGAGAAAACAGTATTGTGCTGTTAGTGTTTGCTGACATTGTTCATGTACAGGTGCATCTCAATAAATTAGAATGTCGTGCAAAAGTTCATTTATTTCAGTAGGCAGTTTACAATCAGTTTTAGCAGTGTATGGTAGGTATTTAAAATTTCATGATTAAATTCTTATATAATGTTTTTCCTTTCCCATTTCTAGATTGGTGACATTCAGATGAGGCCTGTGGAGCAGTTGACATAAACTGAACAGAGAAACTGGAGGAAGCATCTCTGACATCCTTATCTTAGCCCATGAATAGCATAAAATATGAAATGTAGAGCTGACAAAAGCCACAAGAATGTCCCATACATTTTTTCTGCACTCCAAATCTTTGAAATGACTTGATAATAATAATAAAATTTTTATAATAATTGTTTTGTATATATTAAAAAGACCAAATTAATATTGGAGAAATTATTTAAGAAGTACAGAGAGCACTTTGCATCAAGTACTGATGCAGAATCACTATAACTTATTTTGATTGACATCATAATAATTGCCTTCTTGAATGAACATTTACAGATGTGATGATGCTTTACAAATTTCTGTTCAATTCTGTGCCTGCAGTTCTGACCTTTAATATTTTTAAGTGAGATGTTAACGAATTAAAAAAGGTGTTTCTATTTTCTTCTTAAAGTGTATTTGATTAAACTAACAAATCGCTACTTTTCAAGTCAAGGAGGAAAAAATATTGCTTTACAAACATGGCTGAGGACTATAGACCCCAAATAACTGAATTTGCAATAGCTTTTATCTAAATAAACAAATAAAAATAAATCAAACGTTATGTATGGATATTACTAGTGCATAAAAACATACAATTAGCATTCAAGTTTCAGAAAAAAAATCATGCAATAGCCTTTTTATTTCCCTATACTGCATTGAATATTGATATTCATGTTGAATTCAAGTGCGAATTTCTAATGGTGCTGCATGAACGTGACACTTCCGAACTAAAGAGAAGGATGAGGACGTGCTATTCGCAGCAGCAATCCTAACGGTTAAACACGTTTTACTGAACTGAATTTTATTGTTACACTGGAAAATGCGGAGGTAGATCATAATAGCAAGCTATTGCAAATAATGTCTGAATTGCAATTATTGAATGTGACTGCAAACCCGCGAAAATCTCGGAGGAGCTGACAAGATTCAGGTGCGCTGATGTAGGGGAGCGCGGGGCACAAAGTAACGCGGGGTTGTAACACACATGGTTTGAATATTTCCACACATGCTAGCATAACAAAATTTACAGTATTTATTAGTTACCATATCAACATTATATAAAAAAAAAAATTGCGCCAAAAATCTTGAAGATATCAATGAACATTTATTTTACCATAGTAAAATTAAAATTCTGGCTGAAGTAAATGTTTCATCTCTGTTTATATTAATCATTTAAAATTAGACATTATTATTTTTAAAAATGCTATTATTTTAATCTCCAATCTGTTATTTATCAGTTTAGATAGTTTTTTTAATGCTTCGCTAACTAGCAGAAGACAGCAACTGGTTTTAAACTCCTGTTGCGCAGATGGGGCACGTTGTAACACTGCGTTACAATGTGCTATTCTATGACATTAGCGATGTAATTTACACTATTTACTTTAATACATTTTAATGAGAAGCAACGAAAACAGGTGAATAAATGCTGGTTTATGCTGGTCCTTTGCCAGCACATGACCAGCATAAACCAGCAAAAGGACCAGCTTAAACCAGCATCCCAACGTCAAAACATACCTAACCAGCATATGCTGGTTTTTTCAACAGGGATGTAAAGCATTTTTTGCTCGTTTATGTGGGCCGTCCCAAGCATGATTGCAATGTGTTCATTGTCAAACTCCAAAATCAGATTATTTTTTAATTCTTAAAAAACGCCATTATTTTATTTGAAAAAAATATTTATTTTATTTTATTAACAAAATATTTTAGTTTGTCTTGTATATTTTTTTCATTCGATTAGATAACATTTTAAGCTGTTATATGGTCATGTTACAACGTACCCCTCAGAAGTTACAATGTACCCAACCTACGCATGTTGTCACATTCACTTCCATTTTTTGAGGGTAAATAAAGAAATACGTATACACTGTAATCATGAAACAAAGCGACGTATTTGTACTAGACAAGTGTAAAATTACTGTGGATAAAAATATATATATTCTGAACCCCATGTGGATTTACACAAACTGAGAAAGTCAAAAAGTGTTACTTTGTGCCCCGCTCTCCCCCTACAGTAGCAGAATCGGGCGTGCATTGCTATTGGCTAGATCCTACTCACTGACAAAAGAGGATGCAGTGAAGATCACATCTGCTTCTTTTACTCACCCTTGTGTTATATGATATCTGTATGATTTCTTGGAAAACAAAAGGGCACATTCAATGAAGTAAATCAATGGAAACGTTTTTGAGATACTAGTATAAAACTTAGTCATTAAGCCATCTCAGACTTACTTAATTTGCAAGTGTTTTGACTGAAAACGTTTGCTAAAAGAAATGTAAATTATGTATATCTTGAAGCTGTGAACAAAGTGTCTATGGCTCTAGCAAAAATGTCCAAGGTTATTAAAGGGATAGTTCACCCAAAAATGAAAATTATGTCAACATTTACTAACCCTTAAGTTGTTCCTAACCTTCTCCTGATGAACAGAAAAGAAGATATTTTGAAGAATATGGGTTATAGAACTGTTTGATGGACCCCACTGAAAAAAAAAATACTTTGGAAGTCAATGGGGACCATCAACATTTTTCAAAACATGTTCAACAGAAGAAAGAAACTTATTTTCAACTTGAGGTGGAGTAAATGATGACAGGATTTTTATTTCGGGGTGAACTATCCCTGAAAACAGTGTACATTGCATTCTGACAAATTATTATGACACTAGAGCAGCAATAGTACAAAGTTTATAAACCTCTGCCATTGGTTTTTGAGCTTTGTAACCTTCATGAAATTTCTTCCCTTTCACAGAAACTGGCTGCTGAATGTGTCAGTAGTGGATTCAGCGGCACTCTGATCCCATATAAATGTGATCTGTCTGTAGAGGACGATATGTTATCCATGTTCTCCTGGATCAAAGTTCAACATCAGGGAGTTGACGTGTGCATTAATAATGCAGGTTTGGCTCTCCCAGAGCCACTGTTGAGCGGCAAAACCAGTGGCTGGAAAACTATAATGGATGTATGTAAATCAAATAAGCAGTTATTCCTTATCTGAACTGTAGAATGTGTCATGTTAGTCATGGCCAAATGTTCAAATTTCTCCTGGTTTAGTGGAGACAGAATTTGCCTACCGACTCTTTAGTGAAAACCCAGAAATAGCTGTTGCTACCTACAAAAGTGTAAAGGTATATACCAATTCTGATTCCTTTCTATACAACATGTTGAAGGTCATCATTTACATGTTTAAATATTACAGTGCCTACAAGCAGCTGACATTGCAAACGCAGTGGTGTATGTCCTGAGTGCTCCTCCTCATGTTCAAGTAAGCATCATGCATCACTGGAGAAACTATTGTGCGATTAATGTTTGCTGTCACTTCATCAATGTTCTGAATATGAGATGAATGGGATATTTTGATGATAGGAATTTGTCATAAATTAGAATAATCACTGTTCTTTGTTGGTTTCTACTGATGTAGAGTCAATTTGAGCAGCAGTGGAAAATTTCGGCATTGTATTTTCTAGGTAGAATCTTGATTTAATGGCTGAATTGTTTAATATAATAGTTTTTTCCTTCCTCTCGTGTAGATTGGTGACATTGAGATCACGCCAGTGGAGCAGTCGATGTAACGAGCAAATAAACGGGATCAAGCATCTCTGACACATTGTGACAGTGATGAAGTACAGAACTTGAAGAAAAAAAAAGTATTATTGTTCAATTTACTATATTGCTAATATATGTAGTATACTAGTATAACATATTTACTACTAATAATAGTACATCTATTATTGTAAATATTACTAGACAGATAAAAATATGATTTTTAGAAAAAGTTCTAAACACTCTTGGTGCCGTTTTAAATATTTTAAAAAATCAGTTGTGCAAAATGCAGAATCACTGTCATTTATTTTGCTCGACATCATATTGATGAACATTTGCGGACAAAAAAATCAGTGCTGATGAAATGGGATACTTCTGTACAAACTTTAGCTCTGAATTTGCAGGTCAGCATTGCAGGGTTACATTGCATCAATTGTTTTAATCAAACTTCCCGATTAAGTTATTGACTTCAGTAACAAAAAAGTATAAACCCTGGTAACCCTTTTTACTTACTTCTGAAGATTTGGACTATAGTGCATTGTTTTATGATCTACATTTATGGTGCTTTTTTGCAGGGGCGTAGATTACGCGGGGGACGCGGGGGACGTGTCCCCCTCGCTTTTAATATCACGTAAATTCGTCCCCCGCACTTTTTCGGGCAAGTGTGTTCGCATAGAGGTTTTCAAGAGCCGGTGTGAACAAATATAGATTTAAATTCAAAGAGACAGGATAGTCTGTGCATGATCTGATGTTTTATTCGGACCCAGAATAAGGCTGTTTGATGGACCCCACTGAAAAAAAAAATACTTTGGAAGTCAATGGGGACCATCAACATTTTTCAAAACATGTTCAACAGAAGAAAGAAACTTATTTTCAACTTGAGGTGGAGTAAATGATGACAGGATTTTTATTTCGGGGTGAACTATCCCTGAAAACAGTGTACATTGCATTCTGACAAATTATTATGACACTAGAGCAGCAATAGTACAAAGTTTATAAACCTCTGCCATTGGTTTTTGAGCTTTGTAACCTTCATGAAATTTCTTCCCTTTCACAGAAACTGGCTGCTGAATGTGTCAGTAGTGGATTCAGCGGCACTCTGATCCCATATAAATGTGATCTGTCTGTAGAGGACGATATGTTATCCATGTTCTCCTGGATCAAAGTTCAACATCAGGGAGTTGACGTGTGCATTAATAATGCAGGTTTGGCTCTCCCAGAGCCACTGTTGAGCGGCAAAACCAGTGGCTGGAAAACTATAATGGATGTATGTAAATCAAATAAGCAGTTATTCCTTATCTGAACTGTAGAATGTGTCATGTTAGTCATGGCCAAATGTTCAAATTTCTCCTGGTTTAGTGGAGACAGAATTTGCCTACCGACTCTTTAGTGAAAACCCAGAAATAGCTGTTGCTACCTACAAAAGTGTAAAGGTATATACCAATTCTGATTCCTTTCTATACAACATGTTGAAGGTCATCATTTACATGTTTAAATATTACAGTGCCTACAAGCAGCTGACATTGCAAACGCAGTGGTGTATGTCCTGAGTGCTCCTCCTCATGTTCAAGTAAGCATCATGCATCACTGGAGAAACTATTGTGCGATTAATGTTTGCTGTCACTTCATCAATGTTCTGAATATGAGATGAATGGGATATTTTGATGATAGGAATTTGTCATAAATTAGAATAATCACTGTTCTTTGTTGGTTTCTACTGATGTAGAGTCAATTTGAGCAGCAGTGGAAAATTTCGGCATTGTATTTTCTAGGTAGAATCTTGATTTAATGGCTGAATTGTTTAATATAATAGTTTTTTCCTTCCTCTCGTGTAGATTGGTGACATTGAGATCACGCCAGTGGAGCAGTCGATGTAACGAGCAAATAAACGGGATCAAGCATCTCTGACACATTGTGACAGTGATGAAGTACAGAACTTGAAGAAAAAAAAAGTATTATTGTTCAATTTACTATATTGCTAATATATGTAGTATACTAGTATAACATATTTACTACTAATAATAGTACATCTATTATTGTAAATATTACTAGACAGATAAAAATATGATTTTTAGAAAAAGTTCTAAACACTCTTGGTGCCGTTTTAAATATTTTAAAAAATCAGTTGTGCAAAATGCAGAATCACTGTCATTTATTTTGCTCGACATCATATTGATGAACATTTGCGGACAAAAAAATCAGTGCTGATGAAATGGGATACTTCTGTACAAACTTTAGCTCTGAATTTGCAGGTCAGCATTGCAGGGTTACATTGCATCAATTGTTTTAATCAAACTTCCCGATTAAGTTATTGACTTCAGTAACAAAAAAGTATAAACCCTGGTAACCCTTTTTACTTACTTCTGAAGATTTGGACTATAGTGCATTGTTTTATGATCTACATTTATGGTGCTTTTTTGCAGGGGCGTAGATTACGCGGGGGACGCGGGGGACGTGTCCCCCTCGCTTTTAATATCACGTAAATTCGTCCCCTTGTTATTCTGGAGCTTTGGTAGAAACTACCAAATAGCTCTTTACTCTTTCTGTTTTATTTTTTTGAAATCAAAGGTGACACCTATTGAATATTGAAAAGTAGAGAAACTACTGCCAGTGTTTATTATGCCAAGAGCGTAAAACAATATTAGTGAAAGAGTCTGTCGCCTTGTTTTCCTCTAAAAACGGTATAGTAAAGAAAGGGATTAAAAAGCAACTGTTACTTTCCAATGTATTTATAGTATAAATGACAATCATAAAACTGATTTTTGCTTGCATTTGCTTTTATTTTAAGACTGTAGCTGCCCAATGTTTCGTCCTCATGCATGATTGGCATCTCCAGGAAAATTACCTAGCAACCAGAAATGTTCAGCCCTGAGTATAAGATGTGTGTTAAGGCTGTGAGGGAAGCATTAAGTGCTTGTTGTTTTGCCATTAAAGTATTCTGCTTAAAAATGTAAAGTTCATTAAAATCATTTTGCTTTAAACCAAATAGCCAGATTAGTTATCTAGCCACTTTTTGTACTTTTTACCCGCTTTACATTCATTCGAGTTCCTCTGCGGTCTTTAGATGGTCTGTCTCAGCAAGTGGACAGAACACACAGTTACTCAGCAAAAGCCTCTTGTTCTCATGGGAACACAGTCCCGCCCTCTTAACCCCATTTCCATGACCGCAACAGCACGAAACACTGTGGAATCAATCATGAATTGTCTTTTATGCTCTGTAAGTGATACTATTGTACTGTTTTTGGAATGTATATTATTTCATAATGTCGACAGCCTCTGAATGCTGGATTATTATTCCGTGTCTGGGAACCAGGGAGCTGGTATGAGACTCCACATTGTTTTCACACACTCGTTCTGAGTTGCGGAGGAGGAAGCTGGTGTGATGCAAAATGGTGTGATGTTCTGTCCAGGCCATGATATGCATAAATTTGGGTGGTCCCTCATTTGAATAATAGAAATCACACAGAGGTCTCCCTTGAGTAGTATGTTTTCATGAGAACGTGTTAATGAAACATTTGAAAATCCTGTTGAAACATATGTACTTTCAATGGCCCCAACTTTAATAGTTCAAGACCTAATTAGGAAGTCAGATTCCCCAAACCCCATAATTCACACCTTCATGTCCTCTACATGAATTAATTTTGAATATTTAAAAGCAGCATATTTCATATGCATTGTATCTTCCATTGCATATTTCAGACTGCGATTCTGCAAAGGCCTCGCTTTCTAACAAGAACATGTGAGGATCAGCTGATGGGAGATTTAAGTTCAGTGTTACAATACATTTAATGTCGGACAGTGGGTGAGGTACCTAAAGCAGATTATCCTTTGAGAAGAATGTGACCCTTAAGTCCACTGGCAAAAGCCTAGTAAGGCCAAAGTCTGTGCTAGAATAATGACCATCATAAATTGACTTTTTTTGTTTTTTAACAGGAGAGCAAATGCTGTAAATAATCAGGTTACCTGGAGGAACACTTAACACTTCATTTATTAAAAACAAAACCCATACTGTGAAGCAGAGGATTGTTTTCTCAAACCACGCTATATTCCACCAGTGCTCTTATTTACTTTATTCAGCAATCATGTCGAGAAACACATGCTTCATAAAAATTATCTGATCTGTCAGTCTACCATCAAGGGAGCTATAAAAACAGAGTAGGTAAAAACACACTGCTTATTAAAACAATGTTGCTGCATATCGTATGGCAGCCTAGAAGATAACCAACCGTTTGGTCGCACCATGTGGAGCTTGTTGAATTTCACTCTCTCTTAATTTTTCCACGCTTTTCTCGGTTTCCTCGCTCCTTGCTTCTCTTCATTTTTGTCTTCCTAGGTCTGCGGGTTGCCTTGGACGGAGTGTTAGTGTGTAGAAGAGGAAACATTGGTGCCGTGTTTATCTCTGGACCCTTCAACTGAAACTCAGTGTCCTTTTCGATCAGAGTCGGGAGGGGTGTTGTGTCTGTAACGTCCGGCAAAACTGCTTCATAGCAGATTTTGATTACACGCCTTCCTTTGTTCCTTCTACCATTGGTGTCCTTCAAACTTTCTGTTGGGTTTTCAAGTCGGTCCAATCCCAGTCGCTCTAGTACATCTGTTGGCCTGACTGTTGCAGAACCTGTGAACAATAGTGGCTCCTGAGAGCTGATATCACGAGGAGGTCCTTCTGTAGAAGAAGCAATGATTTTCCTCATTCTCTTTCTTCCTTCTCTCTGCCTCGAACTTGGCCATTTGGTTCTAACAATGGGTGTTTTTTGTGTAGTAGTGAACACATGTCCCTTTTCATCCATGTAATGTGTAATCTGCATCACCTCGTTTCTTACAGCATCAACTGGACTCTCGGTTGTTGACGTTGCGAGGCTGACACCTTCAGATGGACTAGTCGAGAGAGTTTCTTCCTTGACATAAAGTTGGGTGGCTTCTGTGGAAGGGTTGTTTTTTCTTTGCTTTTTCTTTCCAGCTTTTTGTCTCAGCTTAGCTCTGGTCTTATAGCGGACAATGTGAGCTGCAGGTGAGGAGGAGACGAACTCTGTGTCGTTTGCTTGGTTGTGCTCTAGAATCTCTGGTTCTTTACCTGTCTTTGTTGAGGTTGTAATGGTAGCATCATCCTGATTATCATTCACTGTCCTCTGAGGATCATCTCTCATCATCTTATTAGAATTTCCTACAGAATCTAGCTCACTGTTCATGAAATTATTTTCTTTTATGCTAAACCGATTAATCTTCGCTGCTTCCTCCGCAAAGTTGTTCTTACCCATGACCTCCTCTGTTTGACCTGTCGACGGCGCACCGGCTGTTCCTTCGTCGACCTTTAACACGGCATCAAGTTTTTTATTCTTCTTCCTGCCTTTACCCCTTCCTCTTTTCTTCTTGTTCTCTTTTTTCTTCTTGCTGGAATTTTTCTTCCTCTTCTTCTCTGACGTCTGAGTTTCTCCTTTACCTGTGTCTGCGGATGAGCTTTGAGAGGTGGAGACTGTGGCGAGCACTTTGATGAAATCCTCTGCAGCCGTCACCACGTTTGTGAGCGAGGGTTCTTCAGGGGCGGTGGTCTTTGATTCAGAAAATGACGACTGTGTTGTGCTTTCAGCGTTCTGAGTCTTGTTCTGCTTTTCTTCGTCTGACTCTTTCTTCTTAGGAGGAGCGATAGTCAATACATCAATGACATCAATGCCTCCAAAGTCATAAGCGTTTGATTCTTTAATCACTGCTACGGGAACTCTGTCATACTTTTTACACCTTTATGATGGAGATAAGAGTTAAAAATTGCATTAATTTGGCTACTGTAGACTGTACACTAGACTAGAGTATATGGAAGGATTTAGAACTTCGCAGAATTTGATACTTACACCCCATACCAGTGACGCTCAACACACTGCTCTTCAAATGAAAACTCAAAGCAAGGCACTTCGATCACATTAAAGAAAGCTTGTCCGACTACTCGGGATGAAGTGTCATTGACACGTCTCAGGCATTCCTTTAAGCTGTAAGATGCAGATATAAGTGGTCATTAGCATAAATAAATATGGAGATGGTTTCAAAATGTCTATTTTTTCAGCATTTTTACATAAAGATAATGATTTCGATTTGATTGCAGCTTTGACATCAGTTTAAAAAAATAACTTTCATTTGAAATCATACACTGCAAAAATTGGTAACCTGTTGCAATCGTTAACTTGATTTTTTTTCTACCTGATCTAATTCTTAAATTTAGGGTTGTTGGTACACCCTTAATTATAATATGATGGTTCTGTGAAAAATAGTTTTCAGTAAAAATTAGGCTAATTGATGTTGATTGTTGTAACATCCCAGAAGCACATTTAAACATTTTGTAGGTAACTGACAAATATCAACAAGATTTGTAGGTTATATGTTTTTGCATAACAGTCAGTTTTCCATCGTTTAATCACATTTTAGTCCTTCAATTAAATAGAATTTAAAAGAAACAATACTTAAATTCTCATAATAAACGTGTCTCAATTAATATAACGTCATAAAAACGGCTTATATACAATAGTGATTTTTTTTTTTTTAGTTTTTAAAGTAGTTTTAAATTAAGTAGGCCTATAGCTTGTCATGCTGCTGGAGGCTGCTGTCATCTATCAAACTTACACATTCTGGACCACATCAAACTTACGCATTGTCGCAGTCGCAGTGGCTAAGGGGGTGCCATTTAAAGTTGGTGTATCCATAGTTGGAGGAAAACGCATGGATGACGTATGGGCAGTGATCGTGAACGCGACAACATTTGTCGGTCTCTTCGAATTCGCCTAGGGGGGAAAAATCACATGCACAAAATGCCTAAACACTTGCTACAGTACTAAAATGAAACATAATACTCAAGTCAGTGAATTAAAGTCAACTCACCTAACTGATCATAATGATCTGCGATGTTCCCTGCACCACACCAAAGTGTCCCGGGAT